TACGACAGTTTCCGACAGTAGGTTGTTGAAGCTCTTCGTTTTGGGTAGTAATTTCCCCTTGATCAGATTGTGAGAATGACGTGGTAAGTGGTGGATCAGGTTCCGTTGAGTCTTGAGGGGAGTGACTGGTGTATGGTTGCTGTGGGTATGTTTCAGGAATGTGGGTTGATGCTGCTGTTGGTCGAATCTGGGTGCTGTTTCGGCGAATAATACGGCTACCCGTGTCTATGTTGTAAGACCGTGGACAAGGTGAACTGACATGCAATTCGGTCATACGTTCACGGTTGTCCCCGCAGAGTTGGTCGTGGTTTTTCATATACATATGATCCCATAGGTAAATAATGCATGCAGGGAAGACTGTAACCATGTGGTTGTTCGTTTTCTCTGGCGCAACGTCTGATGGGAAGACGCACCCGTTCCAGTCTACCACTATGCGGAGAACGCCTTTTACCAGATACACCTGTTCCCCGAACTGTGACCCAAGAGATTGCTAACCACCGAGCAACGTCTAAGGCTTCTTATGACATTAATTTATGACAAAAGGGTGGTGGGTGTTGCGTATGTTGAGGAGGGCAAGGTGGTAATCTTGCGATTTCTTTGAAACAGATTTAACGTCCTTAACAGCAGCCTCCGCTTTTTCATTGTTTTGTGACCAATAAGGGGAAGAAGTTATGTGCTCAAATCATATGACTGTGTAAAGATCTGGTATTCTCTTGACATAAATTGTGGACCGTCGTCTGTAAGAGAGCGCAGAGGAATGCCATGTCGTAGAAAATTAGCTTTTGTGTGCTAGACTGTAGATAGGTGTCTTTGAGTTGGTCTAACTCATAAAAGTCACTATATGAGCTCAAATAGATCTTGTGATACACATTCCCAGGGACACGTTGGTACTGGATGGGATAACATGAACTCTGCGGCGGCTTACTTTCCATATTTGGCACAAGTGATGTATGCGGAGCAGTTGTATGTTATATTTTTTGCCATTCCGGTCCAATAAACAGACTCCCGCGCATAACAAAGAAAATACTCTGGACCTCTATGGGATTACTAAATTGCCAGTGGACAAACTGGTAATTAATTGGTTACCAGTGTACAAACTACGTCTACAAATTGTTAAATTGGCTAACAGTGGACAAACTACCATATACTTTAGAGTCGCGGTTCTGACATAGTAATACAAATGTGCAGTAAATAACTAGCTTGCACCCAATTACGTGTGCAAAAAGTTTAGAAAAAGGTCATCAGTACACTGATGCCAGGAGTAACGAATAAAACACAGGTGCTTTTTCGTCCCATTCATTGCATAGACAGCATAGGTCAAAGTTGATCAGATCTTCCTTGATGGTTTTCTTCAACAATGGGGGATGATTTCGACTACATAGATTTGTGGTTAATTTCTAAAGAAACTACATGAAGAACCTTTTCAATCACAGACTTAGATAGATAAGTTAGATAGATAGGTTTATTAAAAAGAAACACATTGCAGTCTACAATGATTGAATTGCGTGTCATTTTACAAAAGAGGTTAAGTTCTATAGAGCTATAATTTACAGGAACATTTTAATTCATATAAAGTTAATAAAATATATACTACAAGTATTTATAAATAGATTTATAAAACTTTATGTTGAAAGGTTTATAAAATTGAGTATCTAAGAAAATTCTTTGATGCACGCCGGTATAAAAGTTTTTAAAAATCTATCTGTTTTTATCTTTGGAAGATGATCGAAACTCTCGAGTTTTTCTGAAATCGTAGTTCGCAGAGTAACGTTCTGGCAGAAGGGATGATAATTTATGATGTGGATTGTTGATGAGTTGATTGAATAGTTTTGAGCAGGCCTTGTATCGTCGATCACTGAGAGGAATAAGGTTGCATTTTTGCAAACGCTCGGGATACGGCAAGCCGGCTGGGAAAATTATTGAGGTGACTCTTCTTTGGACTTGCTCAATGGCGTCACTAAGATAGATAGGCAGGGCAAAATGGAAAACTTCGCAGCTGTACTCGAGTACAGCCTTACACATGTGCAGTAAAAGTTAATTATATCTTTGGCGGGCAGTTTTGCGCGTTTAAGCTGTATAATGAAATATTTTCGTTTGTTGACCTTCTTGATCATTTCGGCGTTCCATAATTACGATGTCTTGTTTGGTGCCCCCAAGATCGGTTGAAAGCTCGTAAAAAGAACTGGATATATGCTCTTTGATTTTATTCTGGGTAAGATTTTCGTTTATCAGGTTAACGTCCGTTTGAATGCCGATCTCACACACCGCATTCTTAAAGATTGTGCCTTGATTATCAATGTGAGCAAGATTTGTACTCATCGGGTATATATCCGTCTGTATACCACATTCAGACACCGTTTTCTTTGAGCGGGTTAGGTCTTGACTATATATGTAATTAACTGTAAAGGCTACATGATCGTAAAGTTTGTTCATAGCGCTTGACATATTTGCTACGCTCTGCTTAACTTCGATTAATTCGTCGAATAAGCGGTCATAACATTCTGACTCGTCGCTTATATTTACCAAGTTCGTTGTTGTCCTATTCTTGGAAGTGTTCTCTATTAGTTCCTTCAGTTTAATTCCCAGTTCGCCTTGAAATAAAATCGATTCCGTATTAGCGTACCATGAGTAATGCTAATCCAATTACTTTGAAACAATTTCGCACTCCCACCAGGCGAGCTCTACTTGCCGTCATCGCCGAATAAATCGACAACAAAACTCTTTAGTTTCACTAAGCCGCCGGACCATTTTACTTTATTGTCGTTGTTATACTCTAAATAGCTTTCGTACTTTAATAGAATGTGGGAGAAGGTTACTTGAAGCTGTTTGATTTGATTTTCGTAGGAGCTACACAAAGCACGTCCGGCAGCCATATTATCGATTATGTAACTGTTCACAGTTGTCACCGATAGTCTTGTGATAAAAACCTACCAGTTTGACAAGGAAATCGGCTTGGCATAAAACGTTTCGACTTTGTCTTGGGTATACTGAACCAATGGCAAAACTACCAATTGATACATTTTCTTGTTGACACAATTTCGGCTGCAGTATATAAATTGTTCCCACGCGCGCTGCCGTTGCTCCTAGGAATTTCGCCCCCCTTTAGGAAATTCGCCCCCCTTTAGAAACTTCACCTTTCCTTTAGGATTTTCGTCCTCCGTTCAAAATTTCGCCCTAATTCCTAACAGTTGCATGGGATAATTATTACATAGCTTTAATCATTTGAAATCAGTATCAATTCAAAATTGTTAAGACAGAGCTTGAAATAACAACCGATCACTGATCGGCAAGGAATTGCTTATGATCGGCGGAAAAGCAGGGTTTCGTTCCAAAAAAGCAGGGAAAGTCACGACTGCCGATCACCATGATCGGGAACTTTGGGAACGTTATTTCAAGCCCTGCATGTAAGAATACAAATTTACAATTACATGTATCGAAAGGGCTTTACACAGTTACAGTAGATCAATACTCAATAGGACTTATGACGCTTCACAGCACACCATGCATATTTTGCAATTTGCATTTTCAGTGTTAATCCTTAAACTCATTGTTAAAAAGTAATCATCGTGGTGGTTATTGTAATTATTGGTATTGTTTTGCATCCACGTTTTGTCGCTATCGGAAAATGTATGGTTTGTCACTATTTTTTACTTGCATTAGTCAATATAGTTTGTAAATCTCAGAAGCGAAGGGTAAAACTTGCCAATAGGCAATAATCCAATAATATACGTTTCAAAAAAGACAAGAAAGCTTTTAGTTTTGCAGAGTTACATTCTCAAATGTTTAAAGGTAGGTTACAGTCCCTTCTGCGCATGCGCGGGCTTTCATGAAATTATTTGAATAAACCACACCACATATATAATGCAATTTTCTTTGCGGAAGTGAAGAATCAAGATTACATCACTGAGTCAGACACGGAAAGTTGACGATTCAACGGACAATAGTCAATACGCTTCCCAACACATTCCATAGATTTTTTACTAATCCTATAGTTTATTGTTAGCAAGTGATTACTGTGGCGGCTATTGTTAACACTTGTATTGATAAAATTTGCAAGCGATTGTTTT